CTCTCCTTCTGGCAAACGCCCCGGCCCAATAAGAAAAAAAAACTCTCCAAAAAAAAAAAAAAAAAAAAAAAAAAAAAAGGCCTCTTCTACGGACCAGCCCTGGCCACATGTTCAGGCAATACTTTTCCCACACTGTGGCCCCGTCTATGCAAGCTCCAGCCTGTGCCACTGGTAAGCCATGCATTCCTGTGAGTCACAGAAAAAGTTCTTTGAAAAAGTCTGAATCTCAAACTTTTCTTTTTCTTTTGTTTCCTTTTTGGTCAGGAGCCAGGGAAGGGAGGATGGTATCACTTAAATCTTTAGTCTCTTCAGTATGTACTCTCTAACCTGGAGGTGGTAGCGTTTTTTGTTTTTGTGTTTTTTATTTGCTATTTCTGCATCCCTTGGAGTTCCCTTTCATCTCCCTTGTTACACACCTTTTATAAGTTAACGATTTGTTTAATTGAATTTCTCTGTTCAGATTACTAGTGTGTTCTGTATCCTAACTGGATTCTGACTAATTCAGATGCTAAATCTATGGGGAGTGAGTTTGACAGGAAACATATTAATAGCTACAAGCTATCTACCCACAAAGTATTTATTAATTGCAGAAATAAAAAACAGTAGATATACAGTGGAGAAACTGGGCCACACTTTATCTGCATAGTCACAATTAACATTTTTTAGATGGAGCAAATAGACACAATGTTTCTCCAGATGTGAAATTCTAACACAAATTTATCAGCTATATATTATTTTAGTCCAAAATGTAAGACATGAATCTAATCATAAGTAAACATCAAAGAAACAAACTGAGAAATGCTCCACTTAATAACTAGTTTCTAATCACAACAAGAAAAATCAATAATGAAAAACAAAGACTTGCTGAGAATCTATAATAGAATCAAGGAAACTAATAAATAACAACTAACACTATACATAACGCAATATGTAATCCTGGAAGAAAGGGACACTTTGACATCATGATGACAATTGATAATATTAGAATAAGAATTTGATTACATAAAAATATTCTTTTTTTTGCTAAGAAAAAAGAATTTAATTAAAATAAATTTTAAAGAAAGAGGGCATATATAGAAAGAGTACCAAAACCAATCAGAGAGTTCCGAATGACTATAATTGGAACAACGTAAGCCACAAAATAATAATAGTATTGATAATCTCCCCAATAAAATGATTTTTCATAAGTCCCTACTAATGTAAATAATCAATGGATAAATGAGTAGATAGAAATGAATAAATGAGTAGGTAGAAATGACATTTCTACCTTATAGGAGAATTCTGATTAATATATGACAAAAAAAATTAGGGAACTATAAAATCCCAACTTGAACACTCTGGTGACAAGTACCAAAGGACAGATCTACCTGTGAATGCTAAAATTAAAAGGTGAACGTTTAACCAGAAAGAAAATAGCTGCATAATTTCATGGTGTCTTAAAAATATTTAGTAAATGCAAAATGGAAAATAATAAGTTTACCATGGAGATTATCAGCAAACACTACCTTTGCCAAGTGATCAAGGCTCATATACCTGGCAATATTATGCTAAGAAATGATCCTTCTATGCCAATTTTACTGAGAGTCTTAATCATGAAGGAATGTTGTATTTTGTCAAATGCTTTTTCCGCATCAATTGAAAAGATCATATGGTTTTTACCTTTCTTTCTGTTAATATGGTGTATTACATTTATGGTTTTGTGCATGTCAAACCACCCTTGCATCCCTGGAATAAAGCCTACCTGGTCGTGATGGATAATCTTTGTTCATAGGCTGTTGAATACAGTTAGCAAGTATCTTGTTGAGAATTTTTGCATCTATATTCATCAGAGATATAGGTCTGTAGTTTTTCTTTTCTGTCATATACTTATCCGTTTGGGGAATGAAGTTTATGGAGGCTGCATAGAATGAATTTGGAAGGGTGCCTTCTTTTGGATCTCTAGAAACAGTGTGAGTAGAATGGGGGTTACATCTTTAAAAGTTTTGAAAAATTCAGCAGTGAAGCCATTGGGACCTGGACTTCTCTTTGTTGAGAGGTTATTTATTACTGATTCTATCTCATTGCTTGTTATAGGTCTATTCGGGCTCTCTATGTCCTTTTAAGTCAATCTTGGTAGATTATATGTCTACAGAAATTTGTCCATCTCATCCAGGTTTTCTTGTTTGTTGGCGTATAGTCACTCATAGTACCCTCTAATGATGTTTTGTCTTTCTGTTATGTCTGTTGTAATGTTACCTAACTCATTGTAAATTTGATTTGTCTGGTTTCTTTCTCTCTTCTTAGTCTAGCTTGTGAGGTGTCAATATTGTTTATCTTTTCAAAGAACCAGCTTTTGTTTTCATTTATTTTCTGTATAATTCGCTTATTTTCTATTTTATTTATTTCTGTTCAAATCTTTATTATTTCATTTCTCCTGGCATTTGTTGGATTTTTTGTTGTTGTTTTTTCAATTCCTTGAGACATGATGTTAGGTTATCTTTTTGCCACCTTTCCACCTTTTTCTTGTGCACACTAATTGCTATAAACTTCCCTCTTATGACTGCTTTTTCTGTGTCCCATAAATTATGGAAACTTGTGTACTCATTATCATTTGTTTCCACAAATCTTTTGATTTCAGTCTTAATCTCTTCAATAGTCATGAAGTCATTCAGAAGTAGGTTATTTAGTTTCCATGTGTTTGTGTATTTTTGAGGGATTTTCATGAGATTACTATCAAGTTTAATTCCATCATGATTAGAGAAGATGCTGGATAGAAACTATGCCTTTGAATCTGT